AAAAAAAAAAACCCAAAACCACCAAACAGTAACAAAACACAGTGCTGGTTCTCATGCCTTGAATCAATTTTCTGAGCCCGAGAGAGAGAGAGAGAGAGAGAGAGAGAGAGAGAGAGAGAAAGAGGGGAAGCTCCTGTTCCTCCCATGGTCTTCCCCAAACTCCCCCTTTAAAGTAATCACAGAACCACCTTTCTGGGCCCACCTCGCTCAGCTAGATTTGTCTGGCGGACAAAGACTGCTCATCGTGCCGTGGCCCCTGGCAGGTGCTGGGCTTTGGGGTGACCAGGGACTCACGTGGGCAACCGTCCCCCTCTGGAGTGAATGACAACGCCGTAAGACCCGTGAATCTTCTACCGAGGCGCCCAGCCGTGTAGCCAGATCCGGGTTACTTGGTCTGCTCCCCCACGGACCTGCATCTCCATGGATGTGGAAGAGAACCAGGTGCTGTGGGGACAGAGACAGCTGGCCTCCAGGGACTCAAAGCTAAGAAGTCGTGAATTCAGGATCCCGCGTTCAAAGCTCGTTCTTTACACTGCGCTACGCTGCTTCTGGAAACTGCAGTAAGGCAGCTCTTCCCAAGTCGTGTTCTTTGCAACACTAGTACGGAAAAAATGAGTTCAATCAAATGGTTCCTGAGGAGGAGGGCCTCCCCGAGTTGCCAAGCACAGGGAGTCTCCGCGAGGGGTAGGTAGGTGCCGGCGGCACGCCTCACAGCCGCTTCATCTCGGAACCGCTTTACCCCCCTTCGGAGCACCCCGTGGAAACAAAAGACGTCTGGGAAACACTGAGGCCGAAACACCCAGTCATGCTCTCTGACCCCGCCCCGGGTGTGGCGGGCAGGATGCTCCCCAGTGGCCACGGGCCTCAGGAGGCTGTGGCGGGGACGGAGCTCAGCCTCTGGGCTCCTGGACATCAGGGTCCGTGCGTCTCTGTCTCCTGGCCCCTCCCACGCCGGGCACGGTGCTTGCAGAACACGCGGCACGCTGGCAGACACCGGGTTCCCGGCTGGCAACATCTCCCAGAGAGCCCACGTGTTGGGGGGGGGGGCACGGGTGGGGGAGCGGGCTGCTCGACCGGGCCACAGGCCCCCTTCTTTCCATCCCCGCTCCTCCCGGATCCTTGGAAGGTCCCTGAGAAGCGGTAAGGGTCCCAGTCCTCTGGGAAGGGAGGATCTTTTCAAAATGCGAGTTTGATCTTAACTCCGCCCCTGCTCTAGGCCTTGCAGTGGGTGCCTGTTCCTCGCGGGGCAGAAGCAAACTCGAACACGGCCCAGCGGACCAGGATGGTTGGCCCCATTACCTCTTTGGCTGCCTTGAAGCCTGTTCCAGCCCACCTTCTGGCCCTCTCACCTGCACCACTTGACCTTCAGATCACAACTGCAGGGACGCTTGCTTCTGGAAGCCTTTCCCGATTCTTGCCTGGGCCACGCCCCTAAAGCACGGGCGTGGAGGGACCCGCACACTTTTCCCTAATGACACTTGGCTGGGCTGCACATTTACCTTGTTAGATTATTTGGGGAAGCTTCTGTCTTCCCTGAACACGGCAGCCCCGTGAGGGCAGGGGCTCTGGCTGTTTCTGCCCTCACGGTATTCCCGGTGGTAAGGTGTCAGTATTTACTGGACAAGTGAATGAGATGCCTGCTGCCTCTTCCCCAGTCCCCTTGAACTCCCCCTAATTTCCCTAACCCCTTTCTCGAAGAAACAACCACCCAGGGCAAGTAAAAACATAGAACAAAGCAACAAAGAAACCTTTGAGACTGTAAGAGGAAGCACCTACTCGAAGCAAAGCGAGAGCATTTACCACGTATCTTTGCCAGAATGGAACCTCGCTATCATGTAAGTCTACTGTTTGACCTTCAGAAGGCTGGTTTTCAAACACCCTTGCAGGTGTGCCTGATTACAAAAGTAAGGGGCTGCCTGTAATGAACTTGCAAAGGTCAGCAGGGAAGGGAGGATGACCACGGCTGGGCCGCTGCACTCAGTGGAGTCCCTCCCCCCCCATATCCGCAATGCTCACGATGCCAGGCCCTTTCCTGGGCCTTAGCTCTGCAGTCAGACTAGTGCCCAGGCTCCCTTTTTCAGTAAGGAAACATCTGTATCCAAAATACAAAACTGAAACCATCAGTGAAACATAATATGCATCTCTAGGTAAGAAGCTGCTCTCCGGGCTCCTGGGTGGCTCAGTTAGTTAAGCGTCCGACTTTGGCTCAGGTCGTGATCTCAGAGTTTGTGAGTTTGAGCCCTGCATCGGGATCTCTGCTGTCGATGCAGGGCGTGCTTTGGATCCTCTGTCTCCCTCTCTCTCTGCTCCTCCCCCACTCTCTCTCTCTCAAAAATAAATAAATATTAAAAAAAAAAAA